AATAACTCATTCATTTCTAATAGTTTCAAAGACCCAAATTTTGTTTACAGAAGTGGGACTTTATTGTAAATTTTAAATTTTCGCTATTGCATTTCGAAGTTAATGTTATCAAATATAAAAAATTTGATTTGCCAAGAAATATCAATTTCATTGCATTTTATATAGTATTATTGTCGGATAATTAGATATGGCTGAATTGGTTGGTTTTAAACTTCAAATTCACGTCATATCCACACTTCTTTTTAGGCAAGTATCACCTTTCATAAGATTTTCTTAGTGGGCGGCACCTGGATGAACTGCGTTCCTATGTTGCCTGAGATTCGCTTGGAGCTCAAACAGCTGTTAAATAAATATGAGACTTGTGAACATTCCTAATTTTAATTATTCATAATATAATGAATCTACCTTGCCACAACAATAGTAGGCATCGTGTTCAGGCGTGCGTTGAAGGTGGTGTTCTAGATTTGAGAGAGAGTCAAATCTCGAATCACAATAACCGCATTGGTTACTCTCTAACATCTCTTTGAGCCAGCGATTAACATTAATTTGCTTGTCCCTATGTTTTTGAAGAAGAGTACTGAGATCGATTTCTGGTCGTCGAATTAACTGGTTCTGCTGAACTGCGCGAATTGCTCGAACGCGTACTTCAACATTTTGATTCCCATTTGCGCGGCCAGCTGTTTGAAATATGCACCTGTAAATCAAATCAAGAATATAACATCCATAATTCACCTGAAATTACCTTGATTATTATGGTGGATTGCAGGCGCTGCTTCGGGTGCAGGAGCAGGTACACGCGCAGGCACAGGAGCAGGCGCACGAGCGACCTCACGAACTTGTTGGACATGAGGAATTACAACGGCTCGTGCTTGAAGTTGTCGTTCTCGTTGTAATTCCTGAATCCGTTGTCGTCGGGCACGCTCCTAATATAATGGTATTTGAAAGTTAAAGGAAATAAATTACAATAAAAGTGGATTGTAGTGAATTACCTCCAATAACATTAGCTCGTCCCATAATTCGCATTTTTTGACACAACGTTCTTGTTTTTTATCCCAGAGATCCCCACATTTGTAACAACTTAAAAGTTTGGAAAGGATCATTAAGTAAATAACAATAACTTGTAATCATATGATATATGGAAGATAAACGTACAATTCTGTTTTGCATCTGCACGTAATATGATTGCATCCAGTATCCAGTTGAACAAGTACACGACACTTGGGACAACGTTTCCACTTTTCATTTTGGGCCAATTTAAGTACAGCACGATCTTCCGGGGCACGTTCGTTAGGAGGAAGAGCTTGATATTGCTCACAGGTTAAATCTAGATTAATAAGACATTAATTATCCCTATTCTTGTCGCGTACGTCTAATGTAAACAATACTTACCAAAATGCCAACTGACGCAGCAAAGGGGGCAAAAATCTTTAAGGCAAATCGGACACTCCACAGAATTTCCTTGACTAGATCCCTCAGGATCGTAGTCAAAAATTGCACTACACCTTTTGTTTGGGCAGTAAATCTATAATAAAAAAAGCAAAAAAAGATTAAATAATTTCCTAAAAGGACCTTAAGTTGTCACAAGTATCTCTATTTAAATACCTTATTTTTGATCGTAGACATCGCCATTTTTAAATACCATTGCCCCATTCCTTCGCTCGTCAGTACATTTTCTGCTATATTTTCCGAAATTTCTGCCGTTTCACATTTCAAAGGACACTTGATTGGGAAAGATATTGACTCTTCTTGGAGTATTACATTCAAGTAGTTTTTCATGCATGACAAACAAAATCCGTGTGTGCAACGTAAAATTACACCCAAAGTTGCGCTACTTGATGCCATTTTGTTTATATTGCTACTTAAATCAAAAGTACAAAAATCATCGAAACAGGTTTGACAGCTATGACGTGGCGGAGATTGCTTGCGAATTTTTGCCGGTTGTGTATTCTCGTCCACAGTAGACACTACTTTGCCTTTACCTTTACCTTTACCTTTACCTTTCCATTTACCTACAGTTTTCGTCTCTAACAAATGCATTCCCGATACATTTTGTTAGGTATTAATAACAAACAAAGTAAGAGCCTAATTGCAAAACGAACCGGTTGTGTCAGAGGTATCCTGAGAAGTTACTGTTTCACCAAACTTACGTTTGGCGGGCTTAACATACGCGTAATGGAATAATGAATTTGAATTACTTTTTAATTAAAAGTTGTGAAAAACGTTGATTAACAACTATTGAAAGCCTTACCAGCTTGTTCGATACAAAACGGTCATCTTTGCTCTCCTTGACGTTTCTTCCTTTCTATGAGGGTCAAAAATACGTTTGAAAGATAAGATTTAGAACATGATAAGCCTTAAACGAACAAGTTTTGACAAGCATATTCTCATTATCAGAGCAAGCTTTCATATTATTGGTATTAGAATTGAACGATTTTATCATTATCATTATTCCCATCGTTAACTTATGAAGCCGACGCGCGGGCCTATCAAATCGCCAATAAAAATTGTAGGTTTCTTCAAAAAATAGATTCATAATAATTACCCGATGACCTGTTTGTTCATGCTTCTCAATTTTGTTAAAAGTTTCTGTAGCCTTCTTGTTACTTGCGAGCAGAAACAGCTGAGCTGCTTGAAGAGAGTATGCTTTTGATATATTTTCGAGGGATAGGTCGGCTAAACTCTGGTGAACTGCTCCTTTTCTTGAGTTTATTGGCTTGCTAGCTTCCATCACTTCTCGAAGCTAAAATTAAATAAAAAAAATCACATCTTTAAGTATTAAGAGCCAAGAACATTACCATATTTCCCAGAAATGTTACCTGTAATTCTTCTGCATATTCTAGGTCACGCTAACAATGAAACAGAAAGTCACGCGTCTGCACCTGCAAAACACGACTTTAATATGCCCGAAGGACAAACCTCATATGAAGACATTGCTTTCATCACGTTAGCAACAGCAAGGATTTCTTCTTCTGACTGAAAAACGTTATCCGCGAAAGCATTCATGGCATTTCTTGATTTTGTCATTTGTTGCTGACTTGAAATTCGAGTTTACCACGTATTTATATAGTACCGTGAACGGCAGTTACACAGACACGTTAATTCATTGATCGACCAATCTATAGTCTTATCAAAAAAAAAAAAGAAAAAGTAATTTTAAGATTTTCCTTATTAAGGAATGGGAAAGCTTAAAGAAAAAGGGAAAGCCGGTGCGGCTACAAATTATATAACAAGAAATCAAGC